CCCCCCCCCCCCCCTTCTAAAAAATGAATGCTCCCTAAGCTGGCTCGACTGTAGCTCGACTGCAGCACGACATTATTCAGCTTTATTAGCACGACTTGGTTTCAGACGTCGAATTTAATTCAAACAATGACAGTCGAATGGAACGGCTGTTGCCAAACACAAAACACAAAAATAAACAAAAGGTTTAGCAAACTTTTAAATATATTCTAAAGTATTTCTTATAATTCATGAATTGAGTTCGGCACGGCAGTAGCACGACTTGGTTTCAAACGTCGCGCCACTGCCGTGCTAAAGTCGAATTTAATTCGATCAATTGAGTTCGCGAGTGCAGTAGCACGACGTTTGAAACGGGCCTCATTTGCAAATGAACATTCGTTTGATGTTTGATTCCTGTTTCAAATATGAAACACTCATTCGCTTTGATTTTGGAAAACGAATGACCCACCGTGATCTGCGTGTTATTCAGGCTATGGGATCAGTGGTACCAACCCCTTAAATGAGCGTATTTTTAACGAAATAGCGACCATGATCGTGCAGAAACGTACAAGGAAGTGTACTCGCAAATAAAGAGACTTCTGATGCTTACGCTGAAATAATAACGGTTTCGAAGAACCAAATGGTCATAACAAGTAAACTCTTTTCATTGCCACAAATTCTACACAATGCAACGAACAGAACTTAAGACAGTGGCGATAATTATGTATGCCGACACAATCAAATTCTTTAAGTAATGTATGGCGTCCAAGTGGATCTTATCAGCACGTACAAAACTTCCTATTTTACAAAACTTCGACAAAATAATTATCCTGAATTTCTCTTTGGGTATGTTAAGCTGAATAACCAATGCAAAATTACTCACCTTCGATTTAATAAATCATAAGGTAGAACGATGAAGACGCGAAATTGGCTGTCTAAAGCGGAACTGCTCGAAATTGATCTTAATACGTCACCTGACCGATATAACGTTGACATCAGACAGATCACGCAAATGTCGTTATGGTCGAGCTATTTCTACAGTGACTCTATTTTTGACAGTCACGCTATTCGTAGAAATTGCATGAGGACCCGTAAAGGGAGCAGGGGAACCTCATCTGAAAAACGAAGGGTCGGAGAAGTAGAATTAAACCCCTAACGCGACAGAGACCGATCGGGGCGTGGCTCAGGATTTATTTGACCCCCAAAGGAGACCAATTTACTTCCATCAAGAGGGAATAGGTACTTTTTATGCGGCAGGGGTATTTTGCAGAAAGCCGAATGCAGAACGCCGAATGACTCTGAACGGTTTGGTGATTAAGGTTAAGAAACTGAGTGAATCAAGTTTCTGGTCAGTTTTCCCAGTATAATGACTTAATGGAACGTGATTCACTCAGTTTCCTAACCATAATCACTTATAAACTTCGGAGTTATTCGATTCGGGGTTGTGCATTTGGCGCAGAACACTGAATGACTATGAAGCTTCGTGATTAGGGTTAGAAAACTGAGGGAATTAGTTTCAAGTCTGTTTTCCTAGTTTAATGACCTGAGTGAATCAAGTTTCAGGTCAGTTTCCCTGTATAATGACCTAAATGGAACCTGATTCACTCAGTTTCCCAATCCCAATCACTAAACTCCGAGTCAGAGAGACTTTTGCTCTTGGGCTATCGTAGTTTGATCAAAAATAAAACTCAAGACCACAAACAGCGGTGATAAACATTGTGAGGTTTCGCATTTGTATAAACTTGACGTTTCGTATGCTGATTCAACGTACAGTTTCAAAAGTGATCTAAAGTGAGATTATCTTCAACGGTCACTTTAGATGACTTTTGAAAATGCATGTTGAATAGCATATGAAACGTCAAGTTTATATAAATACGAAACCTCACAATGTTTATCACCGCTGTTTGTGGTCTTGTGTTTTATTCTTGATCAAACTCAGAGTCATTCGGCGTTCTGCAAAATACACCTCTGCCGCTTTCTGATCTCTTGCTCCCACATAGCTAACGGCATTAACTTTTTTTGAGCCCGGTAAACCCCAAGCTATACCTTTAAGGACAAAAATATATTTTACATAGAATTATTTCCTTCCTTAAAGTTAACGTTAGTGCCTACATTACTGAACTGCTGAGTTGTTGCTGGGAGGCGTGTGAGACGCTTTTTAAATTTCGAGGACCGTGTGCGCCTCTTATTCAGCTACCACTCCTTTTTTCTGTAAAATTTTGTATTATTTTAAAATATTTTCAGCAACGTAAATAGTATCTCTATAGCTGGCAGGTGTCCCGGCCCAGCCACCCCTTTCTGAATTGTTTTAATCCGTCCCCGGCCCAAGTCTTGCACTCACTGAGAGTACCCGTCTATGGTGGTTTCATGTCAATAGGAACTTGACCCGTGAATTATGACTACGTTCTCTTTGCTCGCTGTAAGGCCACTTTTCCGTGTCTTGGACTTCGATGACGATCTCTTCTTGCTCAGACTCCAGCTCGGTCTCTATCCTCTCCATGGTGTCGAGGTTGGTGGAAGGCGTGTTCGCCCTGCTCAAGTAATTCGTCTCTGATTCACCTGTTTCTCCTTCTCGAGTAGGTTTTTCAGATCTAAAACGAGATATACACAAAGTGTGTTAACTGTTTTTTCCTTGTTTCTATTGAGAAAACTTAGTGGACGTTTATAACCTGATTTAAACTTAACTGAACTACATTGAATCAAGTCATACATGTCAGGAAGTAAATGACAGAGGTGTTTTATAGCCGTGTCCTATTAACAAGAAAAAGAAATTAGAACCTTTCAATGAAATCCATGCAATGCTTGTGTCCATAAATCATAGCCACTCGTTTGGGTGTGTCTCCAGTGTTATCATTTTTCGTCACGCTAACTCCATTGGCCACAAGCGCCTGCAGTATTTCCAAACTACCACATTCAGCGGCACAATGAGCTGGTGTCCATCCTCCTGCCATGCGCATCTCACCATCTGCTCCATGTTCCAGAAGCTTCTCAACGCAACCAACGTGCCCCGCCCCAGCTGCCACGTGCAAAGGCGTTCTCTTCCCCCAGTCCCAATCCTCTCCGTCTGGATTTTCCTCACCACTCAGTAGCAGATACTCAAGGGCCTGGGCATCACCGATGGCAGCAGCCTCATGCAGGGCCGTCATTCGTGACGTAACAGAAACTTAACAACAATTCCTGAAAATATATTGTAATTAGGCCATTTGGAGTCAGTCAGTCAGTTAGTCATTCAATGAGTCCGACTGTCCGAGTAAGAGACGGGGAGGGGAAAGGGGCAGCCATTCCCCCAGTTTCCCTTTTTCCACCGCCCACGATATTTAGCCCTCTTTCTCTAAACAAAGAACCTGTTCACAAGCTGGTTACCACCCACGGGGTATAGTGAGTTTGCATGGAGATAACTTGAACTTACAGAAATTTGTAACGACTGTTGTTAAAGTAAATATCGTCGATAAAATGACTGTTAAGGTACAAAGTTCATCAGTTCAGGTGGAAAAAGCAATACCAAAATAAATAGTCGAATTTAAAAATGCAAATTTAATATTAAATTCTTAAAGCAGAAATTTCATAACATTAAATTTCAATTTCTGCGAAATTTTAAAATTTAGTCTGTTCCTGTAAACTTCAGCAAAATGGAACACGCATTTATAGTAGAAATTTTGTGCGCAAAACTCACACCTCAATAGGAGATAAAAGACCTTACCTTTAATTGTTGAATCGCTTTCAAATGTCCCGTGATATTTCAGTATACAAAGCTATATTCATCACTTCGGCGCTCTTCGCAGCACTAAAGGGCAAAGACTACAATTCCTTTGTTTTGCGTAAATCTTGCATAGACGAGAAAGAATCGGTGAAGATAATTTGCGGCTTAAGGTACCCGCCGACGCTAGTTAAGAACAAAATCGAGGAACATTTTACATGTAAGTGGCACACGGACTGGGCGCTTTAAGGTAAACAACAAGCTGCTTTGTGTGCGTTTGATAAAAAAAAAATAAGTGAAAAAAAGAAATTTATATTAAAGGTTGCCATAACAAAATGCACCTGCTGAATCTTGATTATGCGCATAAATTATATACCTTGCATCGGGAGGATTTTCCGCCAAGTGCACTGGGTCTACTGGGACTCGTTTTACGATTCATTTTCGGACGATTTTAGTGTTTTGACAATGCGCTTACAAAGGATAACGGAGCAAATCGGCTGTTAAGAAGGCTAGAACACGCACTACCCTTCTCCCGATTTGACTTTTAAAATCGGACTTTGTGTTAAAAAGTAAAAGCGACATTTGGGCAATAGGCCGTTGGCTTAAATAACAAATCCGCGTTCCGGTCTGGAGGCTAAACAAACAGTTTTTTTTTGTTTCTATATGATAAGGTGGAAACTGTGTTAAACACTGCATTGTGTTTTGCAGTTTTCAATCTTTTTAACGTCACCCATCTACCACGTAGATATTTTCCTTTCACAGTTAAGTAAATAACAGGAAGACACAATAGAACTTTAAAACAACTTTATTATTACAATAAAATTCTGAATTTCTTCTAAACAACGAAACATAAAAAAACTCTACAAAAATATTAAAAATAACATATTATAACACTTACTATGACACATGCCAAGTTTTTTAAATACATAATATATTAGCAAAATCCCTGATCTAAAATCTCGCATTCTGATTACATGACGTATTGTACTTACTATCGAATACCTCACATATGTCGAACACAGAAATGTCGGGTTTTAAGACAAGTGGCAAGTAAATACCAGAAAGTTAGCTTGCGAACGCAGACGTATATCCGGTCGTCGTTCTCTCAGATGAAGAAAGCGACGACCGGAAAAACGTCTGCGTTCGCAGGCTACCAGAAAGTGCATACTATCTTTTTGTGACTCTGTCACTATAACTTTCCTATATGAAATGAAAATCAGAGACACGAGAATTCATGAGTGAAAATATATTAAACTTAGCTGGGCTCTTAAAACAAGAGGGAAAAGGCCGTTTTTCTCCTCAAATTAATCATACTTTAAAATTTCTACCATCAATTCTTTTGACTGATTAAGTCCGGGCTATTGCCATTGTACGTAACCAGCAGCAAATTCTCTCCGCCTGCACAGAAAAAGTAAAAAAAAGTCTTAAGGACTAAAATATAAGTGAATAACATTCATTCGTTAGTTTCAAGTTCTTCTACTTCTGGCCAAAAATCAATCCCCACCCAGGGATATATGACAGGGGTGATTCGTGAACCATCCCTAAGAGACTCCTTAGAATATCAGTCAGTTGCTATTTATATCCTAAAACACTAATAAATAATATGGTTTAATAGCAGCTCATTTTCTGGCCGCGGTTGTTCAAACGTTGGATAGTGCTATCCACTGGATAAATCACTATCCAATGGATAAGTATTTGGGAAACCAATTGCGCTATCCACTGGAGAGAGATTTATCCATCAGATAGCGCTATCCACCTTTTGAACAAGTGGGGCCAGGGCTATAACCTTACCTCTTGAAAAAAAGAATACAGAGAATCTTAACAACAAAGCCAATCCATAAGCTATATACCTACTCGGATAGTGCTGCTGAATATTTGCTGGAGAAATTGAATTAGTTAATAAGAAGTAAGGTAGAACCTTGTCTTATACAGCCACCCTTTCGTCATACACCTTTTCTTGGACCAAAAAACCAGTCATGTCCTTATTCTACAAACTTATTGATCTGACCAACCATTGCTATGATTAACGATAACTTTTGCATCATTTTCTTCTAAATTTTACCATTTTAATATGCAATGCAACCACTAGTGGCTGGGATTTCTCCTGGCTACTATGTGCATGACCCCTAGCTACTTTCATAGGAAACAAAAGGAAAATAGAACACAAAGCACTTCACAGCTGCTCAATGCCTCGCCTACTAATATTATTGCATGTATCTACAACTTGAAATCTTATTCACAGCCCTGGATATGACCAGTTGAATTCCTGGTAGGGTTAGGAAATGCAGTATCAATCATTATTGAACTTTGTTCTTAGTGTATTACTATAAAGCTTGGGTTTTCATCTACATCTACCTACTAACAGATAAAGCAGAATCACAGCAATCCATACGATACCCATCAGACCGATAGTCAGAGTATCTTATTAAGCTTAGTTTGTCATCACACTGTTCAAAAAGGCATAGTATCATAATTATTGACGTGACCTTGACAAGTGGACACATCCACCCTGTTAATAAGTCAAAATTTTCATTACCCAACCACGGTTGTATTAATGGCATTCCACTCACTGCATTAAGTTACAAAAAAATAATACCTTTTTCTTTGATGTAGTGAAATAAGAACTATCAGAAACAAGGTTACTCCAGCAATAGGAAGAAAGATAATCATCCAAGGAAACCCATGCTAAAAAGAAACAAGGAGAAAAACAGGAAATAAACATTAATTTTAAACCAAGGTAATTTGATTAAAAGTGGGGGGGGGGGGGTGCATTCAAAATAAAGAGGATGGGAGAAGATAAGGTGTTGTGGGGGGGTTTATTTTTCCAGTTTTGGGTTTTTTTGGGGAGAAAAATGTTGACATAATCTTTTCAGGCGCGTTGGGTTTGAGGGGGGTTTTTGGGGGTTTTAAAAACTTTGTCAGAGTCATATAGTG